AACCACAAACAGTGTTTTTGTCTCCAGTGTGTGTATACTCTTGGGCCCACTCTCTCTCTCATTTGCCTGCCTGGCTTGACTGCTGCTGCATACTCTGCTTGGGGGTTTATCCCCAAACACTAACAGTTTACATTTGTCTAATTATATTTGACTAATTGGGATGGATTTTACAAGTTTAAAATTATCAGCAGCATTGTATTGCCTTCTTCTTACGTATCTTATCATAGAGTAGAAGAGTTGGAAAGGACTATAGAGATCTTACAATCCAGACTCCAGTTCAGAGCATAAATTCATTACTACTGTACAACTTCTCAGATGACTATCCAGCTTCTCTTTCACTATCTCCACTTAAAAAAGCCCCAGTCAATTCCTGAGTTTGCCCTTTTCTTTGCTGAACAGCTCTTAACAGTTAGGAAATGTTTCTTGATGTTCCAAATAAAATCTATTTCCTTGTCATTTGAAACTATTATCTGCCACCTTCTACAGCATAGCTTTCAAATACTTAAAAACAGCCATATCTCCTATCGTCTCATATTATCCAGGTAAATATACTAAAGCCCCCAAACTATCCAGATTTTCCCTCCTTCCTGTATACTTATCATCTTGATTGCTCTCCTTCAGACACTTTGGTTTGTCTATGTCCTTTTTGAAACATAGTATCCCAAAATGGAATCAATATTCTAGATGCACTCTCACCAATGCTGAATAGAAAGGAACAATTAATCTTGACATTATATTCTGTTAATGGAAGCCTAAGATTGCCTTTGCTCTTTTTTTTTCCAGCTGCATCACACTTTTGGCTCAATTCAGCTTGTGATCCATCAAGACTTCTAGATTCTTTTTATATGTACTTCAGCCAAATATAACTCTCCCCAGTTCTTTTCTGTACTCATGCCTTTGATTTTTCTGATCTATATTTAGGATTTGCATTTGTTCCTGTTGAAAAATTTCTTGCTGTTTTTTGCCAATTTTCCAGCTTGTCAGGTTCTTTCCAAATCTTGATGCTGTCCTCTAATGCACTTGTTATCCCCTCTTTGTGTTGTCCGCAGTTTGGATAATAATATTTTTAACTCTACATCTAGTCGTTTATGTGTTGCATAATACAAAGTCTAAAAATGCCCTGTACATGTAGTGTACCACTTATATTTTTTATTTACCTATACTGAGCCATGGATTGTTGTACTTGTTGTACACAGTTGTTCAATTGCTTTTTATCCATCGAATTCCCTCCCCCACACAGGAGAGTTGTATAAATTAGTTGAGTAGTCTAGCCTCACTTTAGAGTTTTTTGCACACTCTTATAATAGTATCTTGGTTGTTTTTTCTTCCTTGTGTTCTTCCCAAAATGCTTTGGATTGGATCTACTGGATCAGATTTCTAGATTTCAGCATACCTAAAATAACATAAGTGAACCATTAAAATAAAGCATGCATTTTTAAGTATTTCTAAATAAATATATGATTTTTTTTAAAAAATGTTTTATTTATGCTGATGCTCTAACAATTATTATGAAAATTTTTGACATAAGCACATGATGGAAACTAAAGTAGTATTGGCAAACTAAAAGAGACATGGTATGCATGTTTTTCATAAATCCTAACCTTTGCTGAAATGTGGCTTGTTTCTTATATAATTCTTATGCTGTCGTTTCTTTCAGTTATAATAAAAAGTACAATATACCTTACAACCACTGCCTGCTGAAAGGGGCCACAGAATAAAAAATATCACAGCCTTTGGCAAGAGTGGGATTCAAATTTCTTAACAACCTAGTCTGTGGGTGTGGCTTGGTGGTCATGTGACTGGGTGGGCATTGCTTTTATGTAAATATTATAAATATTTGTGTTAATATTGATCTTTTTTATATAAAAAAGAGCAACTTTTACCCAAAAGCAGGCAAAGCAGGCAGGCAGATTGAGTTGCTCACAGAATCACAGATACACTTAGAGATCTATCTATCTACAATCAGCTATCTGAGTCTGTCACATAAAATTTGCTTGCAAGTGAACTCACAAAATTAACTCACAACACACCATGTATGTAAATATTGATTTTTTTTTAAAAAAAAGAGCAACTTTTACCCCAAGCAGGCAAATAGGCAGGCAGATTGAGTTACTCACAGAATCACAGATTAACTTAGAGATCTATCTGCAATCGGCTACCTGAGTCTGCACTGAAAAGCTTCAGACCTAAGGAAGGTTCAGCTCTGCTTGCAGATTAGCTAGAAAGCAAGAAATCCAAAGATTTCCTGCTTTCTAGCTAATCTAAATCTCTCGGCAGAGCTGACAGCTGAAGGTCAGGAGGAAAAAAGGAAAAATAGCAACTTACCAAACCAGGCAAGTTGGATGACTTGCATGCCAGGTAAGGAGTGAGTGGGTAAGGAGGGGAGGGGAGGGGAGGGGCCAGCCAGCGATTTGCTGGTTCTCCGAGCTGCAGACTATCCTGTGTGCAGCGTTTGCAAGAAATCATCAGCTGTGCCGCTGACAAGCACTGCACTTGGGTGTGCAGCGTTTGAAAATCCTCTTGTTTCCTGCATTTTCAACCTCAGCTGTGCCACACAAAAGCAGCTAAGGAGGGAAAAGCAGGGAATAAAGTACAGCCTAGAGCCTGGGCAGGTGGGTGGGCCAAACACCAAACCGGTCCAATGTCAGCTGCTCTTCGCAGCTACAAATTCTATAGAACCGAGCCAAACTGGGAACATCCCACCCATGGGCTTTGGAATATAACAATTTTTCTAGTCTTCTGAAATTTTACAAATCTCTCAGCTGCCGTTTTCAAAACAAATTCTCACAAAACTGAGACACAAGAACTGAAACAAGCAAACAAAGGCACCAAATGACAAATATGGCTTTGAACATCCTCCTGTATCTATTCATTCAATATTGGACAAACTTTTTTAAAAATTAATAAATATATTTAAGATATCTAAGAACAACATAAATATCTACGTAAAATAAGAAAAAATAGGGATACAATGAATAAAGAATAAAATAGCAGAACATAAATAATGGACTTACAATTACAAAATTTAAAATTAATATTTTCATTCTTCTTTCATAGATTCATTATACTATCCTAAGAAACAACTAAACTCTATAAAACTCTAAACATGATATTAATGTTAATAGCATCACTACCTGTTATCTTTCCAAAGAACATGCATATAATGACAAAGAAAGACAACTTGGAAAAAAAACCCCAATCAATTAATCAATAAGATATTGTTTCTAAAATAGAAAAAATAAACAAAAAACTAACTTGTATTAAACTGGTGATTATATTAAAATATTTCTAAATACCAAAATTGCTTCTAATTACTATATTTATGTAAATTATTTCTCCCTTAAAAATCATACACAAAATGTCTGAATTTGCTTGTTGCAGGACATATAATTCTTGGTTAAGTTACTTCTGCTCTGGATATACGCACCCAGATTTTGCCAATGCTGCATATTCCCCAAGTTTGGTTCACAGTTCCAAATGTCGTTAATAAATTGTCTCTTTTCTAGGGTTAAGTCAAATTTGTGACTATCAACATAAAATAAATCTTAACAAAGTATGTTATATTTTGTTTGTAGGATTCTATGTTTTATCAAGTTCTATCTTATAAAATGTCCTTTTAAGTTTTTTGTTTCTTTTGTGTCTTTTTACTGTATATCTATGAAGTCCATTAGCTAAGCCAACACCTTCTAGTATTGACATTCTGCTATTTGGAGATTTTATCCATTCGATCAACTATGACAAGCAATACGCACTGTAACAGTTTTAAAATTTGGGAGACCAAGCCTACTTCTAGCTTTGGAATCTTGTAAAAATGTTTATTTTATTCTAGGTTGTTTTTCTTTTCCAAATAATTTTATTAACTGTTCTTTGCCAATATTGAAAAAAACCCCAAAACAATTCTGAGATTGAAATTGGCACCAAAAGAGACCACCTCTTTCTGATTATCTATACCTGTCCAAGAGGCTCAGCAGGAGAGGTATGTTGGGGGACCTATATAGTAAATAGAAGTAAATAGACCTATATAGTAAATAGATCTAGAAGACTAAATAAATAAATATGAAATCACCAGGAGTTGTGTGACATATACATTTAATATATTATCATTTTAAATTATTTAAATTAATATATTCATTTTAATTATTGCAACTGATTTTAACCTGGAGGGGATTTTTTTTCACTTTTCAAAACTTTTAAAAGTTCTGTCCATAATTTGGTGCAACTTTTAAATGGTGCAACTTTTGGTGCAACTTTTAAAAAATATATCTTTGTTACTGCTTGTTAAATATATCTCTAATATTTCACCAGAACTCTTGTTTACTGAATATTGAGCTACAGGTGGTGCTTAACCTACAACAGTTCATTTAGTGAATGTTCAAAGTTACAACGGCACTAAAAAAGTGACTTATGAGCATTTTTCAGATTTACGACAGTTATAGCATACACATGATGATGTAATCAAAATTTGGATGCTTGGCAACTGGCTTGTATTTATGATGGTTGCAGTATCCTAGTGTCACCTTTTGCAATCTTCTGACAAGCAAAGTCAATGGGGAAACCAGATTCATTTAACAAACCATGCTACTAATTAAACAATTTAACAACTAAGTCAAGGACTACCTGTATTTCTCCACTAAGCTTCCCCCCACCCTTGGGATGTGTCTTGTTATTACCTTGTTTTCTTGGTTAATAGTACATTATCTATATAACATTTTTATTAAATATTCTTTCCTTGAAATTGGGCAGCATTGATCATCTTAGATCTGGGCTGTCAAGCTCACGGCCTGTGGGCCAGATGCGTCATGTGCTGGCCATGCCCACATCCAGTTTAGCGAAGGGAGAAAAAGTCCCCCAAGTCATGTGATGCTGCTGTGACATCGTCAGTTTGACACCCCTGTCTTAGATCATTCATAGTTTCAAGCAAATATGGTAATGGTTTTAAAATAATCAGTAACATTTTTAAAAATTAAGACAGTACAAAATAAGCAAAACATATTTTATTATAAAGTGTTTTTCCTCGGGCCTACTATTCCTACAATATTCATCCAATATTTATACAATCCAAGAAAAAATCTATTTGGTGAGAAAACAAAACTGGCTATTTAACTAACTTCAAAAACTGCTACAAAATGTTATGCTGCTAGATAAAGGCCGAATGTACCAATCACCATTGCAAACAGGAGGGAGAGCTGTTAAACTTGAACTCCACCCAAGCCTTCTATAATTTCATAAATGCCAAACTTAAAGACTCAAAAACTATCCCATCCCTAAAAGGGCCTGACAGGGAAGACTGTAACGATGAAGCTGTTAAGACCAACCTCTTTAATACATTCTTCAGTTCAGTCCTTGTTGACAGCACTGGCTGCTGGCCCCCATTTTCTAGTCGAACCATAACAAATTGTAACAATTGATTACATATTGATTTTACAGTAGATGTTGAAATGACACTACGTAACCTGAAGCTATCTTATCTATTGGCCCTGATGGATTATGTGCCTACTTTTAAAAAAGCTTGCCACTGCCCTAACTGAACCTCAATGCACAATGTATGAGGTATCTTTCAGAATCAGCTCCTTTCCTGACTTATGGTCATTAGCCATGGTCATACCTTTTTTTAGAAAGGGAGCCCCTAGTCTAGTAGAAAATTACAGACCAATTTCACTGTGTTGTGTCACCTGTAAAGTCATGGAATCAATTATAAACCAATCTATCACTTTCCAGTTAGAAACAAACAACATGTTTTCTAACAAGCTGTTTGGTTTCAGGAAAAATGTGTCCTGTAATCTGTAACTCCTATACTGCATAAATAATTTGACCGCACATCTTGACAAGGGTAAAACAATAGATGCAATTTATCTGCAAAGACTTTGATTCAGTGGTGCACAACAAGCTACTGTTGAAACTAAGTTCTTATGGCATCTCCGGATCCCTGTGCAACTGGATAGCCACATTCCTGTCAAACAGGCAAATAGTCAAAACAGGGAGGGCCCTATCAAATCTGGCACCAATTAATAGCGTTTTAGGACCCAAGGCAGCGTTTTAGGACCCATACTCTTTCTGCTTTACATCAATGACCTATGCAATCATATTAAAAGCAGCTGTGATGACATAAAATTATTTAACACCACTGACAATGCTGCTGCCCTACAATGGGACCTTGACTATGTGTCAGAATGGTCACGTAATAGTAACTCCAAATTTCAACTAATAAATGCTCTGTCCTTTACATTGGCAATAAAAATCAGAACACCAAATACAAGTTGGGCAGAAATGATCTTGTAGATGACCCCCCACTTTGTCAAGGACTGAGGAGTACTCATCTCATATGATCTAAGCCCCAGAGCTCACTGTAACCGCATTGCCAAAAAGGCATTAGGAGTTGTTAACCTTATTTTGCAAACTTTCTTCTCTGGTAACATTGAATTGCTAACTAGGGCATACAAAACCTTTGCCAGACCAATTCTCCAATACAGCTCATCCACCTGGAACCCACACTGTATATCAGATGTTAACACAATTGAACGGGTTCAGGGGTATTTCTCAAGAAAAGTACTCCTCTGCTCACTATAGTAGCCACCAGGCTTGAAATTTTGGGCTTGGACAATCTGCACTGCTTGCTGTCTGATCTGAACATAGTATACAAAATTGTCTTGCCTGTCAATGACTTCTTTAGCTTCAACCACAATAATACATGGTCAAAAAATCAATACAAACTCAAGGTAAACCACTTCAAACTCGATTGCAGCAAATATGACTTCAGCAACAGAATGGTCAATGCCTGGAATGCTCTACCTGACTCCATTGTTACAGCCTCAAACCCTCACAGCTTCAACCTCAAACTGTCTACTGTGGACCTCTCCCCATTCTTATGATGTCCTTAAAGGGGGCGTGCATATGCATACCAGCATGCCTACCGTCCTTGTCTTACTATCCCCATTTATCTGCATTTACTTCCTCTGTTCATGTTTGTTATCTTGTACATGTTTGACAAATTAATTAATTAATTAATTAATTCTGGAAGCACTCATTTTAACTGTTTCTTAATCTCCATTGATATGTAATGGAAGGCACAGAAGTACTCCCAGAAATTTAATATCAGGTACTGGGTGTTCAGGGACAAAGTTCCAGTGACTGGGATTTGGTATAATTTGTCTCTGTACAATGTCACACTTATTCTAGGAATAAACATTTCTACCTGACTGCTATTAATATTAAAAGAATGAAAAAATAAGGCCAGTCTATGCCGGCACCTCTTTATATATTTGCATGACAATTCAATGATTCATTGATTTTGGGACAGGTTCTTTTGGCTTCGTATTTCAGTTCTTGGAAATGGAGATTTGGGATGAGAAAAAAACAAGAAATGCCTGCAGAACAAAAAGATTGCGACAAAGAAGAAGCCATCTTTAATGAACAAGTAATCTTAGGTGGGGGGGGGAGGAAAGGGGGGAAAGAGAATGGAAAGTTTAAGATTGGGAGAAACAACTCCCCCCCCCAAAAAAATAGAGTGAAAAATAAGTATAAAATCAGAAAGAAACAGAAGAGGAAAATGCAGAAGAGAGAAGTAGAAGTAGAGAGACAAGGGGGTAAAAAGGGGAGGGAGAAGATGAGAGGGAAGAAAGAAAGGAAAAGAAGTTATAAAGGACAGAAACAAAATATAGAGAAACAGGGCCTATTTAGAGATAATGGGTGAAAATTTAATAGAAAAGGGATTCTGCAATGGTACATAAGATAGTATTGTTATATTAGAAATAGAAATAATTTTAGAAAATATGAAACAATGTATGATTAAAATGTTTGATAAAATAGCTATTGTAATTCAGTGGAATGCTTGTCAATAAACAAATGTAATAAAATGAATATTTAATGATTTACAAAACATATGTGAAGAGAAATAAGGGAAAAATTAATTATGGAGATTATATGTGTCTTTAAGGAAGTATGATATTTAATTGAAAAGAAGTTTAAAGATGTTAAGATTTTAATGATTATTAATGATAGAACTGAATTGGAATGGAATGAGGGTTTATAATTACATATATTTATAATCTTTTTTTAAAAAAAATATAGTGTGTATTATAAGAATGTACCAAGCAGAATTCGATTGGAAGTTATGTATTATGTATTATATTGAAGGTCATAACCTTAAGGTATATATTGAAGTTTAAATAAGAGTTGAATGGATATAATTAAAAGATATAAAGGTATCATACTCCAATTAGTAACTACAGGAGAAAATTTGTTTAATGAGAAAAGATAATATGAAATTGAAACAGAACAGACAAAAGTATAAATATAATGATTTGAATTGAGATGAGATAATCAAAATAAAATTGAGAAAATTAAAAGAGGGGAAAAACTATTTAGAAAATGTAGAATAGTATAAGATATGGAATAGAACACAAAAAGGAGCATGAAATTGAGTTTTGTGTCTGTATAAAGAAGTTCAACCCAGGAGCATGCTATTTTCAAAAAAGATGTTTTACTTGTATTTTGTATGTGTGAAAACCCAAATAAAACTTTATTTTTAAAAAAATGTCCCTTCTGAGGATCACACTCACTACTTAAAGCAGTTGAAGGCACAATATAAGACCCTGCTAAAAGAAAAGAAAAGTGCAACTCTGAAGGAGTCTTGGCATAGATTAATTGCAGCAGTCAAGACAAAAAATACATCCCTTTTCTGGTATATCACTAGAGGATTGGGGAAATCCCCGCTACCCCAAACTAATCGGGTACCAATTCATGCCTGGGAAGAATATTTTAGAGAGCTATATATAGACCCTGACTATGTAACTAAGGAGAGCCAAATTAGTTTGGACCAAACTTCTTACTGGCCCCTGGTTACACCAGGAAAGGTATCCTGGTTGATCGGAACCCTCAAGACTAATAAGGCAGCAGGTGTGCTGATAATGTCCTGTCAGAAATAATCAAAAAGAATGCCAGTTGGTGGGCTCCACTTTTAGCATCTCTGTTTACATTTATAGATAAAACGGGCCCTATGCCAAGAGATTGGGGATTAGCAATTATCATACCAATTTATAAAAAAAGGTAATAGAAATGACCCAAGTAATTATAGACCTATTAGCCTTCTGAGTGTTATTAGTAAATTGTATGCCAAACACCTAAATTATAAACTTCAGGATTGGCTAATTTCCAGGGGGATAATCAAAGATGAGCAAGCTGGTTTTAGAGAAGGAAGATCTACAGTGGATCATATCTTGGTACTTCACCATCTGGTTCAAAAATACATGAACAAAAAAAATTCCTCTCTTTTCATGGCCTTCCTTGATTTTAAGCAGACCTTCGATTCAATATCCAGGAACACCCTCTGGGAGAAATTAAAACATACTACCATTGATAAATGCCTCCTTTTCTCATACAAAAATTGTATGCTAATTCCACCTTGAAAGTGAGTGTAATCCTCAAAGGACTTTAACCAGCCCAGTAAGGGTACAAAAAGGGGTATGGCAGGGTTGCATCCTATCCCCCTCCCCTTTTAACTTCTACATTAACCCTCTGATCAACCTCTTAAGAACCCTGATTTACATCCTCCTAACGTAGCACAACGTAAAATCCCAATTGTCCTATATGCTGACGATGCTGCTATAATTTCACAAACTCCAATAGGACTGAAGAGAGCAATTACGGCAACACTTGAATTTTATAAACAGAATAAGCTGGTCCTTAACTTTGATAAATCAAAAGTTTTAGTTTTTGCTAAAAGACCTAGACAATAAATACTCCTGGAAAATAGAAGGGTATAGTTTAGAACAGGTTAGGACATTCAGATATCTTGGGGTGGTTTTCCACTCACAAGGGACATGGAAAGCACACCTGGATCACACATTGCAAGCAGCCTATAGGTCCTCAAATGCAATTAAACATTTTTTTTTACACCAGTGGAGGGCAATTAGTATCTGCAGCCTTAAAACTTTTTGAGGCCAAAACATTGGCACAAATTCTATATGGGGCACAAACAGGAATCCTTACCAAAAAAACACCTTGCTAGAACCTATACAAACCAAATTCCTGTGAGCCATCTTAGCTGCACCCAAAGGAACTCCAAATGCCCAGGTAAGAATTGAGACAGGCATGCCTCAAATTCAGGTAAGAGCCTGGAAGATGATGATCATTCATTGGCTAAAAATGCATTTCTTCCCAGAGGGACTGACCCCTCTAGTACTGACTGATAACTACCCCTCCCCCTGGAAACAGGCAATAGACCAAAAACTTGCCTCTTATGGGCTCTCACCAGTATTCTTAATGTCCCTAGGCTTTGACTAAGCAAACTAAGTAGTAATCAGTATAATGAAGGACATGGAGTTCCAAGAAGAACTAAATAGGTTAGCACCAGGGGTGGGATTCAATTTTTTCAAAAACCGATTCTGGGGGCATGGCTTAATTGGTGGGAGTGACTTGGTGGTCATGTGACTGGCTGGGTGTGGCCAACTCAACATTATTCACATCGAGGCACGCATCTCCTTGCCTGGCCTCTCATGACTGTGGGGATGTATTTTCTTAACAGATTTTTTAATCACTATTAATGTATTATAATGTGTCAATATGTTTTTCTATATATTGTAAATAGTGATGTCTATTGTTGGTCTACGACTGTAATAAAATTATATTCTATTCTTCTAAAAAAAACCAGCTTTATAAAATATATTTTATATATTTAGACATTATGCCCTCAACTATAATACCCACATGCATCTTACAGCAAATTATAATCACTGTATTCTTAATTTTTAAAGCTGTGCTATCAAAATAATGTTTTCAAAGGAAAGAAAGCACTAGAATATAAAAAAATCATCACTGATGAAAAATATCATATTTACATCACACTAGAACTAATCTGGTGATATCAATATAATTCACAGCACTTGGTTTCCCCATTCTGACTCCTAATTTCTTGTCTCAACATGGCTTTTCCCAAATGATTGCTCGATTAAAGTGCTGTAGCTTATAATTATAATTTATAACTCATTTAACAGACAATGTTAGCTAATGCCAAGCAAGTGTGATGGGAATTTGTGAAGACAAGGCAATGTACAACCTAATGATTCATTGCCAAGACAACCTTACTGAAATTATTCAGATAAGTAAATAAAGAAAACAAAAACATGCCTGAATGGATTTTTTTAAACTGTCCAATAATGCAGTTTCCTACTAATACAAATCAAGCATAAAATCAAATAACTGATAGAACAAAGATAGAACAGGATATGTGCATTATGAATGCTTCATAGATTGTCACCAACCACATCTCAACTTTTAGGAAAAAGGGAGTGGTGGAATGCAGGAAAACCTAAGGAGACACTTGGCAAATGGATGCTCCTTTAGGAGCTTCTAGTTTTGAGTAATGTAATGCATGATATGTTGTATAGTTCTTGAAAATTAAGTTCAGTAACTCCAAAATTTTACTAAGATTCTGACAAAGTTAGAGGTATATTATACCAATGTTCAAAGGTTCATAATGTCTCCACATTTGTTCCTAAGCTCAATTCAAAGTGCTAATGATTACTTTTAAAATGCTTAATTGTCTAATATCGCAATATCTGAAAACAGATACTTAGCTTCTTTGAAAATAAGAGAATCGTTAGTTTTGAAGTGTTCTGTCTAATTTGTTATGCATTTTTATATTCAGGCTTTATTAACCAGCTAAAATTCCTATGCTACACTTCAAGCTTCTTTAAATGTTCAAGTAACAATACTGTTCACTATATAGCCAAAAACAAACTGCTACACACATTTCTCAGTAAGAAAACTCTACTGATGCAATTAATAATTATCAATTAAACTGAGACTGAGATTGAATTGGTGGGTTATAAATATAGTTATAACTATAATTGATAAATCAACAGAAATTTCTGAGAAAGAATAGATAGAGAGATTATAGTGGTTATAGGGGAAAGGGCTGCAAAACAAATGACAAAAATAGTTCATCCTACTTTTTCAGATGGTCAGGCTTCTTTCTGATAATTTAAATAGCACGTTGAGGCCTTCATTCAACTAGTGTCAACATATTTCAGTTCTTGATTATTGACTTCAGCATAACAAATCTTCAGCTCAGGTTGATAAAACAGTTACAAAAGAGTATACAGTCTTCATCTAGACTACTCCAACACACTGTCATTCTTGTGTGTAGAATATCAAATCTACAATTACCAATCCATTTGGTTAGCAAAGGATGTTGATATTTATTTTATTTTATTTTATTTAGTTTATTTTGTCGAGCATGTATGAGAAAACAAGGATAAGTATGAACATAACTGTTGTGGAGCGGTGGCAGATACAGAGACGGAGACAGGCTGGATGGCCCTGACTTTTGAATCTATAGGATGTATTCCAGAGGTGTCAATTCGGTAATCTAGGAAGTCCACTTGCTTAGTGGCAATGGTGCACTTGTCTTTCTTGAGTTTTAACCCATGCTGCCTGAAACGGTCAAGAACTGATCTGACCCTAAGTAATAATTGTGTTTTGTTGGTGGCAGAGACCAAAATGTCATCAAAGTAAGGGACTATGCCTGGGAGTCCTTGGAGAATCCTCTCCATAAGAGACTGAAAGATCCCAGGAGCCACACTAACTCCAAATTGTAAACGCTTACACCTAAAAGCACCCCTGTAGGTAACTATTGTTTGCAAATCAGCAGTATGTTTGTCTACGGGAAACTGCTGATATGCTTGTGACATATCTAACTTTGTGAAAATTGTACCTGGCTCAAAGGAGTGCAACAGGTGTTGGATTATGGGGACTGGGTATGCACTAATTTGGAGGAAATGATTGAGGGACGTTTTATAGTCTGCGCAGATTCGCACGCTGCCGTCTTTTTTAAGAGGGGTGACTATGGGCATCTCCCATTTTGCGAAATCTACTTGCTCTAGTACCCCTTGCTTAATTAGCTTGTCTAGTTCCAGATCCAATTTAGGGCGAATGGTAAAAGGGACTCTGCAAGGTTTTAAATGGATGGGGGTAGCTTGGGGGCCTACATCAAATGAGATAGGGGTACCAGAGGTGCACCCCAGCTCATCACTAAAAACATCAGTGTAGTCCCTAAATAGGGTGTCCACTTCAGTGGTCACTACAGAGTGAATCCCTGTTATACTAAGGCCAAAGGCAGGGAACCAATCTAACCCAAACAAGCTAGGAAGGGCACCATCTACAACCACCAGAGGCAAGTGGCCTCTAAAGTTCTGGAATTGAATTAGGAACTTGCCTTTCCCCAGGACTGGAATGGTCTTCCCTGATAGTCTCAAAGAGTCAGGTGGCAGTTGAGCAGCTTCTTCTTGGACAGTGTAGGGAGCAGCTTCTTCAGGGTGGCCCAAGAGATGATAGAGAGGGCAGACCCGGTGTCCACCTCCATCTGGCAGGGCTTACCTTCTAACAAGACAAAAATACTTATTTTGTTAGACCCCGGGGTGGTATTGTCTGAGTGGTAACAGGTGTAGCAATCTTCAACTTGCCTTTGGAAGGAGGAAGTGGCTTGCGGTCTTTGTGGGAAGGTTTTTTCAACTTGGCAAACCCTAGCTATGTGGCCTTTTTTCTGGCAGTTCAGGCAGATGGCATTTCTGAATCTGCATGCTGACCTGAGATGTGACCCCCACAGCTCAGACAATTGGGTTGCTGTCTGGCTGCTGGATTGGTGTTTTTCCTTGGCATCTCTGGAGGGGGTCTTATGTTGCCTGAGACAGTTTACATCAAGTGGTTCTTCCTCTAGGGAAACCTCATCAAAGTGAATGGTAGAGCTTCCTTGTTAAATGGGGTTCCCCTGAATCTCAGCTGCTGACAGCTCAGACAGCTCAGCAGCCTGAGCTTCTTCTATGGCTAAGGCTAGGGTTAAGTCCTTTTTTGCTAGTAAACGCCTCTGAAGCTTTAGGTCTCTAACCCCTCCTACAATTTGATCTAGCAGCATATCTTCCAAGTAATCTCTAAAGCCACAGTGTATGGCAGCTGATCTCAAGGCTGCCATATACTGACTAACGGTTTCCCCCTCAGCCTGAACTCTCCTTCTAAAAGCCAGCCTCCTAGCTATCTGAGAGGGCTTGGGGGAGTAGTGGTTAGACAGGATTCCCTGCAACTCTTCCCAGGGAATAGCCTTCACAGAGTGCGGGGATACTAGTGCAGAGGCTGTATCAAAAACAGCAGCTCCACAGAAGCTCAGAAAATAGGATCTTTTCTGCAGGTCGGTGGCTTCTGTCAGGTCAATCGCATCTAGAAAGCACTTGAACCGGTTCATATACAACTCCCATGTCTCGGCCGTTGGCTGGAATGGAGGGAATGTCGGGTTTGAACCCATCGTGAAGCAGTAGCATCGGTTTCCTCAGCTGAGGGAGCTTCAAATTCACACTTTTAGAAAAGTGCTTGAGGCTGCGCCTGTCAGGCGGCGTCTGACTCCTCAGCTGGGGAGTTTTGAACTTCTCGCTCGTGGAGAGCGTCAGTGGTGGTGACGTTATTCAGCTCTCAGCGGCTTTGGCTCTTTTTGACAGTGACTGTACTCAGCTGTCTTCGCCTGGTT